TGGGCCATCTGCCGAGTCGTCGTTCGAAGATTGAATGCGCGGGCCGCCGACATATTGGGTTGCTGACTTTTGTTCAGCTCCTCGTTCTGCCGCTGTCTCGACAGATCGGCATTTGCACCAATCTTGCAATGAATACTCGGTGCCGTACTCAACACCTTCAGCGCGATGCCTGCATCCTCTGGATCAACCACCGACGTCTCGCTCGCAGATTTGTTGACACACAAGGCCGGGACAGTTTTCTTTCCGAAACAGAGATGCCGCTTGACCAAAGCACTGGATTAGAGCTCACGCAGCTGAGCCAAGCTGATGCGGTAGACACTGTGGTGGATCACAGTCTGGAACTCGAAGATCTGTCGAGTAGCGATGACCTTGTATCAATTGAGACCGCGAGTAAGCCGAATTCTGAAACCGGGGCAGTAGAACTCCCCGACATCTTTCCGTCCTGCCCTAACTGTGCGTCAGGAATTGAGTATGTTGAAAAGGCCGTTCAAGTGGATCTACTCGAGTTGGAACTTCCAGTCGAGATGGTGACTTGTGCGGTCCAGACTGCCCCATTTGCAGCCTCGAACGATGAATGTAATAGCATCATTTCTGAACGTAGCGATGATAAGAAACACCTTGACGATCGCGATGAGGAGGCGAAGACAACTGTCGACGTAGGCTGCGATGCAGTGGATATTGCTAGTGAGAATCATTTCGAATCGGAGGAAGCTGCACACCCGTCTTTGTCTTCTTCGAAGCAAGAACCGGATGACGTAACGGCGGACGTGGAAACTGAAGAGAGCGTTGTTAATTTGCCAAGTGAGACTTCGAGTAAGCCAGAATCTGATCCCAGGGAAGTGGAGCTACAGTCCGACGACATTTCCTCTAGCAGTAGCTTTGTATCCGACATCGGCTTTGTGGACGAGGCCGTTCAAGCAGATCCATTCGAGTTGGGGCTTCAGGTAGAGATGGTGGATTGCTCGGTTCAGACTTCCTTTACTGTAGACTCTACGGTTCCTGAAGAAAGTGACGACGGAGCAAACCTTGGAGATCGTGCCGAGGAGCAAAAGTCAACCGTTGATGTTGGGTGCGACGCGATTGGATTCACGGACGAAAGTCATGATCAATTGGAGGAAGACGAGTCCCAGATTTTGGCGACTACGCCCTGCAAGAATGACGAAACTGAGGGACTTGTTGTACCAAGCGCTCAAGATCTCGTTGATCGTATGAGCAAGTCTCTCTCCGTCGAGCAACCGACACACACCACGTTACCAAACGAGAAACTGGACCTGATGTATGAAATGCTGCGCGAGATGCGTGGCATATACGTGCAACAGCCAGTAGTAGAGCCTAGTATCGCGAAGCTAAAAGAGGTTTCTGAGGACCACAACCGTGTCACAGAGAAGAGCAAGTCGCTGGTGTACCAAACCAGAAAGATCCGAGATAAGCATAGCAGTTGTCCCAGCTCTCCCATTTCACGAGTCTCCAGTGCTCACCGTGAACGACCAACCCCCTTGGGTAAGAGTTCTTCTGGCACGTCACAATCAGGTCCAATCAAGATCACAATGGACAACTGCGTGGAATATAAAGACAAGCGCTGTAGTTGTCCCAATTCACCCGTCACTCAAGTACCAACCTTACTGCGATCACCAGGGGCTTCACTGGTTACAAACTTTGGACGCACGGGGGGATTAAAACCCACAACTGAATTTGCTTACAATGCGAAGAAGTCTTCGTCTCAAACGCAGCTAGTTGGACGAAGTAGGGCCAACACAATATCTCGTCTTACTGGCACTCAACCAATACAACGTACGTCATACCGCGACGGCGATGAACGGAAGAGCTATCGTCGTGGTACTTATGGCAACACCCATCAACTTATGTCGTCGGATTTGGGATCATTCCACAAACGATATCACAGTCAAAGTGAGGAAACGAGTACTCACTCATCTGCGCATTCTCTTTTCGCGCAAGACTCGGAGACCGAGCGCATCGCTCGAATAATGCAGGGAAGTATGAATTATTGGATGAAAGATGACAGCAGTTCCAGTGGTGGTGACGAGTTTGAGGAGGAGACGGACGAGGATTGCTATTTCTAAGCTCGACTTTACTTTCTGGGCTTGGCTCGTCGGGATCCTGCTCGTCTGAGTTTCTCATAAAATGAAGCTTTGGGCGGTTGGTGCTCGCTGACTGAGTGATCGGAGCGCTCGGTGCAGTCTTCAGTATCGTTGCAACTGCTTGAAGATATCGAGTTTGGTGCTGCGAGTGAAGGGATTGCTATCTCAGGAAGGACCTTGCTACTTCGCATTCGCTCGAGCAGCGACGTCCGCTCATACACTCGCGATGAACTGTTTGTGCAACACGAGATTTCCTATTGTGCAGCAAGAAATAGTGAGTTTCAGTTCGCTCAAGACCACAAGAAATTCCGTACCCGGTCTTTTGCTTCAACCCTGTTTCGAAGCTGGGCGATAATCGCTTCGCTATCGTGGCAATCCTGGTCTTGGTTGCTTGGTTCTTGGCGACTCGGTTTGCTGTTATCGGTCTGGTTGCTGTGCCAAGCAGCTTGAGGTTGCACTGGTGCAGTGGATTGCTCTCGTTGTCTTCTCAGTTGGTTCTGTAAACTGTCGACGCGTTGCTTCAGTGCTGCATTCTCGTTTTGGAGTTCGCTTTGTCGCTGTTCAACCTCTTGGAGTGAACTGTTTCTTTCCTGCTGTACTTCGTTTTGAGCGATCTTCAATCTCTGCTCCAGTTCTGTGCGTTCAGTTTTTGCTTTTTGAACCAATTTTTGCTGGAGAAAGAAATGGAAATACCATTTTCCGAGGTAAGCTGAAGTATCTGTACGTTTATATGTAAATTCAATCACCTTATCACGCTCACATGCGTCGAGTTGACCTTGCAGAGTCTCAATCATGTTCTCGAAACGTGAACTATTGCGCTTGGCCTCCTAAAATAAATAAGCATTGAGAATATTCAGCAAAACTTGGTAATACTCCTTGAATTGCAGCATCTTTACCTCACGCTCACTAGCGTTCTGCAGCGCCCGATCTTTCCACTCGTTCGCTCGACGCTCCGCATCCTTCACCTGGACAATTCAAAAGAAAGTCGAAGCGTTAACACCCGTCGGTAACTAGAAACCTTCCATGTGTACAACTCACTCTGTCCTGCATTGCTAAAAGCGCGTGACGTGACGATTCTTCTCCTCGAGCTTGATGTTGCGCAGATTCCTTCTTCAAACATTCCAGATAATTATTCTGACTTTCTTTCTGATCTTCGATAGCTCGCACGTGCTCTCGTTGAAGACGACAGATTTCACTTCCATGTTCTTGTCGTAAGTTTTCTAAGTCGTGAGTATACTCACTCTTTATCTTCTGAGTAGATGTCGTGCTCACACTTAGCTGTCCTTGCAATGTATCTGCACGCAGACGCAGAGCTTTAATCTCATCTTCCAGTTTGTATTTGTCGTCCTTGTATCGTCCATTATCAGCAAGTAGCTGAGCTCTCGTCCTCTCAAGGTTTTGCAGCTGATGTTTCAGCTGGATAATCTCACTGTTCATCTGTGAGCTGGACTTGCGCTCAGTGTCGCTAGCAGCCACGACTCGACTAAGTTCTTCTCGAATAGCAGTAAACTGTCCTTCCAGCTGTCTTGCGGTACTCGACTCCAGCTCCACGCGCTCGTTCATAGCCAGAAGCTGCTGCTTCAGAGCATCTCGCTCCGTAACAATTTGCCTTTCTGCCACTGTCCATTGCTCTTGTCTCTCTGCGATCTTGGACTCAAGTTCTCGAATCCGTTGCTGGTCTCGATCATTCTCCTCCTTAAAATCTGCTTGCTGTGACTCAGATAGCAGTTTGCAGCTCTCCATCTGACTCGATAAGTGCAAAATCTCATTGCGTAGTTTCTGTTCGACTAGTGAGTACACCAACTTTTGTTCTTCTTCGCGTATCTGAAACTTTCGTTGGGCAACTTCGGATTTTTTTAATTCTTGTTGAAGCTGCTGGAGCTGATTCAATACCATTTGTTTGGCAGTACGATGAGCTTCACTTTGCTCTGATATCTGCTTAATGCTAGCGCTACAAGCTGCCACTAGATCTGCAAAACTACCTTTCAATTCAGCTACTTGCTGCCGTAAATCTCGCGCTACTGAGCGCTCGTGCTCCATAAACCGCACGAAATCCTAACTCGCGATTAGAAACCACATTAGTTTTCTAAATGCACGAACATGAAAGCGGTGTACCCACTCGGAAGGTCTTTTTGTACTGCTCGACTGTCGTCTGCAGAGCCTGCACCTCGGCGAAGACAAAGTAGCTGACGCCACAGAACGTGCACGCTGTGTCTTCGGTTGGGAGTCGTTGGATCTCGTCAGGTAGCGCACGCTCTGGACCTGTGTATAATTCCGCCAAGGTAGGATCACGCAGAGCATTCGGCTGATCCGCCATGACTGTCTGGAATAAATTACAATTATGGAACGGACACTCATTTTTAAAGTGGCGTTTCAAATCTAAAACCTGCTACTAGTAAAAAATCACCTAAATTGAGGTAACAATGAGCTAATTTTGTTACCACGGCAACACTTCTCCCTTTTCAAAGTGAAACATCTTGGCCGAGTCCTCGAGCTTGGCGTTTGCAATGATTTTGGTCAATCCCTTGACGCTGTCGTCCGTGGAAACGGTTCCTTGGAATCCTACCATGGCCGTGTTGACGTATCCTGGGTGCAACAGCAAGCAGCCAATGTTTTCCTCCTTTAGATCGATGGCCAAGCTCTTAGTGATCATGTTGAGCGCCGTCTTGGACGCGCGGTAGCCGTAGACGCCTCCCGACCCGTTGTCCGTGATGCTGCCCATTCTGGACGTCATTTGAGCCACAAAAGCCGAGCCTTGGTCTTTCACAGCAAGGCGGAGATTGGGCAGCATCGCACGCGTCATGAGGAAGGGACCCACAGCGTTTACTTCAAAGTGACGCAGCAGATCCGCCTTCGTGGTCGACTGCAGGCCTTGCACGTCCATGATACCGGCGTTGTTGATGAGCAGATTGATGGGGATGTCTTTTAATGCCTTGGCCACTGCATTGATGGAGTGTTCATTGCTGGTGTCAAGAGATAGCAGCTTCCACGGCTCCAATTGTTTAAGCTGATGACACATAAAGAGAGGGTTGGATGTGGCGTTAAGGAGGGAATCAGGGGATGTTTATAATAGCGTACCTCGGTGGCGCCGTCCACATCACGAGCGCAGCTAATGACCTTCCAGCCCTCCGTCTTGTAGTGCTTGGCGAACGCGAGGCCGATGCCGCGGTTGCTGCCAGTGATAAGCACAGTCTTGGCAGCCATTGGGGCTAAAAAAAAACTGAATTCGAAAGAGGTATGTATGGAAATATACAGGTTTCATCCCTACAAGCTTGTAGTTTAAAGGTTTGCGCTTATGTGATATCACTGTTTCTGACAGGCTACAATGTTTCGCTTGAAACTTGAGCTTACTAAACTTTATTAAATACTACAATAGTAACTTTAGTTTTCCTAAAAGGAAGCTTGGTTGAAGAATGGAGGAGCGTCCTGAGGTGACACTGGTGTACGCCCATGGCTGCAGTTTCTCGAAGGATATGTGGACGCCGGTTCTTGGCCGCTTGAAGAAATTCCCTGTCGTGCAGCGCGTGGCGACGAAGTTCGTCACGTTTGACTTTCCCTTCCATGGGAGTCGCAGTGACAAACAGTTAGCAGAGACTTTGGAAATAGACACCAGCAGCCCCAAAGCTCCGAGAGTCAGAGGAGCTGGATGCGACGACGTCAAGAATTGGTACTTGAAAATAATCATCGAGCAGGTGGGAGGCTGAAAACAAAGTTGACGGATTTCGTTGGCTTCTCCATGGGCTCCGGGGCGCTCTGGGCCACAGAAGTCGCTCATCCGGGCACGTTCGACGCATTGATCCTGTTCGAGCCAGCAATGGACACCAAGACACCGAGAACTGAAGCCATGCGCTCGTTTTTAGCTGCGTCAGCCCTTCGACGTCCATCGTCGTGGTGAGTTCATAGTAGTATAATTCTAGAAGAGAGGATAAATACTAAGCCTATTGTCCTGCGATTTAGGCCTTCGCGTGCTGCAGCGGAAGAATATTTTACGACGTCTGAAGGGTTCAGTGCTTGGGACCCTGAAGTGCTGGCAGCGCATCTGAGCGGCGCACTTTTGGACCAACCAGATGGGTCAGTCACGTTGGCTTGCGACCCGCGGCTTGAAGCCTCGCTCTACTCCATGACGCCGCTTCATTTCTCCGACGCCGAGCTACAGCGTCCCAAGTGTCCTATCTACTTGCACTGGGGCAGTCGCTCTCAAATGTGCTTCGAGAAGAACCTCAAAGCAATTGAGAAAAAGTGCCCAGATATCTACAAAGTGCGCGAGGCAATGCCAGGGCTTAAACACTTGGTCGTCATGGAGAATCCTGCCCTCACAGCGGCAAACATCGCTCGAGAACTGGAACAGCTCGCTCCATACAGACAGATCTCAAAGCTCCAAGTCCTGTCGTTACCAACTTGAAGTGAGCTAAATAATCCCCACGTCATCATTTCCAATTTTTCTCTTTAAAAACGAGCACATTAATGCCAAGAGCAACGCTGCTCTTCGCCCATGGCGGCGGCTTCTGTAAGCAGATGTGGGATCCAATTATCCGTAGGATGAAGAGCTCACCCGTCCTGCAACAAGTTACAACGGAGTTCGTAACTTTTGACTTCCCGTATTATATCACGGAGCAAAGCGTGACGAATCCGTGACACCAACGCTGGACGTGAGCAATCCGACGAGTCCGAGGGTGTGGCATCCTGCGCAAGACCTGGTGCCGTGGACGACGGCAGAGGTGCAGCGTCAAGTGCGACTATTGAGCGAGAAATCTGATGTAGAAGGGGAGAGACCTACACTCATTGGCATCGGCCACTCAATGGGGGCGGGAGCTCTATGGAACATGGAGGTACAAGACCCTAGCACTTTTGACGAACTGATTTTGTTTGAGCCAGTGTACGGCGAAAAGGACCCAGTAGTGACGGACAAGATCGCGACCTTCTTGGTGGCTACAACGCTGCAGCGGGAGGCGTCGTGGTCGTCGAGAGAGGAAGCCGTGGAGTACTTTGAGACTCTCAAGAACTTTAACTCTTGGGATCGGGAGTCCTTAGCGTCGTATCTGCAAGGAGCTTTGGTCGATGACGCTACGGAAGGACGGTGCTGGCGTGTCATCCGCATATTGAAGCGGCGTTGTATCGCCACGAGATTCTGCGCTTCACTGATCAAGAACTGAAGCGACCGAAATGCAAAGTTCGTTTCTATGGAGGAGAGCGCTCGAACTTGTTCTTCACGCCACATTTTGAGCACGCGGTTAGGCTGAACCCCGACGTTTACTCGATGGGTGAGCCGATGAACAACTGCACGCATTTGTTGGTTCTTGAGGACCTCGAAAGGGCTGCAAACAACATTTTGAACGACCTCGCGAAAGCTTCTCCGTTCCACAAGGATACAACGAGCCGCATGTAGCACACAAAGCACGAGGAAGCCCCAGCAAATAGCTTAGCTTTTGAGCTGTTTCTACTACGTAGTAGTTATCTTTAGGAAATAGAAGCCTACATGCGTGAATGTGGCAGTGTTTGGCCCGTTGAGAGCTCCTCCAGATCCGTCACCACTGCGTTTGCACACTGAGCAGGATCCTCCATCACCAAAGCATGCGATAGTCCTGACATCAGCGGTCTCGTGCGATAAATGTCTGGATACCTGGCTGCCATTTGTCCAAAAGCTTTGCCGTTGTGGATCTTGGATCTGCCTCCTCCGTGGAAAGTGACGCGACAGCGAGGACGTTGCTGGAGCTCGTCGTTGAGATGCAGCGGCGTATGGCAGTAGAGCGAGGCTTCGATCAACGGATGACACGCCAAGACAACAGAGCCGTCGTCTTGGTCGATTAGACCGCCGCGAACATAGCCGGCAAGTGCCTCACGGTCCCAACGAGCAAATTTCTTCAACTTGTAGAAATAATCCTCTGCAACAGCGCGACTCGGCCTGATACCACAGATGTGAATACTCAGCTCATGTGAATAAAAATGTAAAGTGGCAACTGTACCATTTGGCTTCGCGCTGCAGTGTTAACTTCACGAGGAAGTCGACAGTAAAGTCGTTCTCCGGTTTGCGGACGCCGTAACCAGGTTCAAACAGACTGAGACTGGCAAAGGTTCCCGGATGAGTGACCTCTGTCTTCCAGAGCGCCGTAGCACCCATGGAATGACCGACCCCGATCAGCGGCGTCTTGTCACTTTGTCCTCGAGCACGTTGGTCTGCTCGGATCTGCTGCACCTGCTCCCAAACTTGCTGCGGCGCCCACGTCGCGATGTTCCTGGCTGGATGATCCACGCGAGGTTTCTCCGGGTTACTGCGATCCACCTGAGCAGCCACCGAGTGGTCGTAGCTCTCGCCATGCCAAGTGAAGTCGAACGTCACAAACTCGGCGCCAGCGAGCAGCGGTGTTGCCTTTAGACGACGCACGATGGGGTCCCAGCATTTCTTGCAAAAACCGCCACCATGGACGAATAATAGCGTTACCGGCATCATTTCCGAATGATAAAATGAGGATACAGTACCGCGCAGCTTCAACGTGTATGGTGACGTCAACCAGAAGAGATTCATGACAACTAAATCTCAGTATACAGTTGCATACGCGTTCCTGGGCGGAAGCGTCGTTGCCCCATTTCTAAACTCTCAACAAACGGGTGACATAATGTCCACGAAGGTGACGCTTTTGTTCGCGCATGGCGGCGGTTTTTGTAAAGAGACTTGGGATCCGATCATCCGTCGACTGAAGGAGTCGCAGGTTGTGCAGAGTGTTCCGACGGAGATCGTCACGTTCGATTTCCCGTACCATGGCGACAAGCATGACTCGGCGGCGGTGCAGTCTTTTGAGGTGGATCTTAGCAACCCAAAAGCTCCTCGAGTGTGGATGAGAAGCACGACCTCGTCGGGTGGGTGGCTGGCGCTGTGCAAGAGCAGGTGGCGAATTGGAAGGACAAGACCAAGATGGAAGACGCGGAAGGTACAAAGCAACACAAACTCATTGGTATCGGCCATTCCATGGGCTCGGCGGGGCTCTGGGCTACGGAAGTCGCACACCCGGGAACGTTTGACGGCCTCATTCTGTTCGAGCCTGTGCTCGCTCAAAACTCGCCCGAGACCGACTATATGATCGACTTTATGGTCGGATTGACACTGCAGCGAGGAAAGACGTGGCCCTCTCGTGCTACAGCTGAAGAACACTTCCACAAGTTGAGGAACTTTGCCAAATGGGACCGCGAGACTCTCGCTGGATATCTGCAAGGAGGTCTAGTTGAGGCTGACGACGGTACTGTCACCTTGGCTTGTCACCCAAACATTGAGGCGTCCTTGTACTGCCAACCGCCTTTGTGGCTGACGGAGCACGAGCTTCAGCAGCCGAAGTGCCCCATCACTTTCCACTGGGGATCTCGCTCCAAAATGTGGTTCCGTGAGCGATTCGAGGGGTTGCAAAGTAAACTGCCGCACATCTACACGATGCGAGAGGCTATGGAGGGCAACTCACACGTGTTGGTGTTGGAGGACCCAGAGTTGGCAGCGAAAAAAATTGCGCAAGATCTCGTGGAGCTCGAGCCATACACCGCGACGTCAAAGAACAGTTTGCTGAAGTGTCATCAAAGCAACTCAAACTTGAATTTTTACGCTGACATGTGAATGACTTGTATTATTTTTATCAATACCTAAACATTGCTCTTTACCCTTTTTTAAGCTTATTAGCCAACAAATTCCAACTCGTCTGGCGAATTGTAGCTGTCAAGTGTGTTGAGGTCGTCGATAATGGCATTTGCGCATACCTTTGGGTTTTCCATCACAAGGTTGTGCGACAAGTTCTCCAGCGGGGAATGACTCGTGTAGATATTTGGCCACCGTTGTTCCAATTTCGCGAAATATTCGTGTGCAAACAATTTCGAGCGACCTCCTCCGTGGAAGGAAACTGGGCACGAAATAGCCCCCAGTTCCTGGTTGGAGAGCCATAGCCATTCATTACAGTAGATGGAGGCTTCGATCGTCGGGTGGCACGCCAGTGCTACAGCCTCGGATCCATCTTGTACCGGAACAATGGCTCCTTCTATCCATCTCTTGAGACTTTCACGATCCCAAGACGCAAACCCCTTGAAATTTTCACAGAAGTGAACAGCAGCGTCGTAATTAGGCCTACAAACAGCACATCTAAATAGTTAGAGATGATAATTAAGAAGTCAAATAACGAGTTGCTCGCGCACCAGCGATATTCTCGGTTCAACGTCGTGTTGAACATGAATTGTTGGGCCTTTGGGTCACGCGTTCCGGGGTTCTCCACGATCGGCTCGAACCGTCAAACGTACCTGGGTGTTGGGCTTCGACATTCCAGAGGGTAGCTGCCCCAACCGAGTGGCCGACTCCAATAAGTGGTCGTCGCTCAAAGCCAGAATCGACTTCTTGTTGGCGAGATTGCAATATCTCGCGGTGGATCTCGGCAGTATTTCGGACCACCCAGTTTCCCGCCGGATGATCGACAGTAAGTGATGCTTCGTCAACCAGTGCACGCACACTGTTGTCTCTTTTTGCCCCATGGAATGGCAGTTCCACACTTGCAAATTCCACATGCTGCAATAGCGGTGACTTCTTCAGCTGATTCTCGATTGGTTTCCAGACTTGCTTGCAGAAATTGGTGCCGTGTAAAAACAGCACGAGCGGGGATTTCGTCGACATCACCATTTTGTTGTGGATGGCTTTTACTGGAAGAGCAAATTCTAAAATGGCACCCATAACCTCATTCGTCAGGACAGCTTCGCCACGGCGAAGAGCGCGACAAATTTTGCAATACCCTAGGAAAAACTTGTTACAATATACGGATAACTGGCACTGTGGCCTGTTCATTACGAAGTATTGAAACTGAACAGCTAGAACTAGTGGTGACAAGTAGTCTCTGTGCTCAAGCGTTTCAACTTTGTTACGATCTTGCAAGTCTGACCTGAAGCAGTGCATATCATGCTGAAAAGCTTCCGCACAAGCCTTCGGCTTCTCCATCACGAGGTTTGCGCTGTGTCCTTCATGGATACGTGGTTCGTGAAAATGTGTGGTCACGAGACTCGTATAATCACCTTGCTACGGTGAAAAGTAACCAGGCACAACAGACTCGACAGCTCCTCGTCAGTCACCCTGAGTCGCAAACCCTCTTTGCCCATGCTGTCGTCAGCTACTTTGTATGTAGTGTGGTTATATTGCATTCCCTCTAGCTCATTTTGCACAATACGAGATATTTTTGTTGGCTGAACACCGAAAGCCTGTCAATATCATTTGCAGTCCAAAAAAAAGAAATCTAAACGAAGCTACCTGAACAGCTTAACCGAACTCTTTATAACTGAAACCATCGAGGATTCTTACAAACAAAAACTGTAAGCTTGAAATATTATTAAAATGTCGCCGGTAGTAAGCCAATTAAAATTTCAGGAACGGACTTTTCGGTGCGCCTTTCCCGGATCGTACCTAAACGAAATACTTGTACATGTATTTTTGTGCTTGACACAAGTCCTACAGCAAGAACCTCGTTCATGTAGTACAGAAAGACGGACTCCATTGAGAGCCGTTTAATAGCGTATCGTAGTAAGGCTTCTATAGGATAAAAACATACACAAATAGAAGGCCGTTTAAACCACTGTCGCGGTCTCCTTCTCTTGTCGGGGTCGTGTATCTTGTGAAAGCCGACGTCGGAGCTTAGACGTATTAGATGTGTAAAATATACTTGTTTCTTATTTGTTTTCTTGAGAACTTCTCGTAAAAGAAGGAAATTCACGACTGAGAGCTCACTCACCAGCTCTCTACCTTACCAAAGTACCTCCTACCAACACTAGTACCTCTAGTTGTCGTTCGTAAACGGAGTCAGCGTACCACTGTTTGAACTCCTTCGTTCCTTTAAGACTAGGGACGAGGTAGTCGGCGACGGGGAACGAGACTGATCGGGCCTGACACTCTTCTTACGCCGCTCGCTAAATTGCCGTAGGCAGTCGTCCAGAATAGCGAGTCCTTCCTCTAGCCGAAGACCGTGACATTTCTCCCCGACTGCAGCTCGGAGTCCTCGCCGAGTCTCGTCCTTCCCAGCAGGTCCAATCACCGAGTCGACCGGCAGATCTGGAACGATCGACCTCGTTCCAATCGACGTCGAATCCGAATTTCCTTGCGCCACAGAGGTCGTATCATTAAGACCTGCACGCAAATGGTCGAGGCTAGCTCTCTCTCTCCTTTCTCGTAGTTCCTTCCGACTTTCAAGCTTAGCCCAACTCTTTTGTGCGGCCTCAATTCCAGAGCCGTCGACAGTCTTCACCCGTGACGCCCAGTAGTACCTCGTAGCGTGGCTATAACAGCCCAGTACCAAGACGAACACGTTCCCAATGAGACTCGCGACCGAGAATTCCAGTACCACGTCCACCACTAGGGTAGCTAAAGAAACACCCATCCAACCACATAGGGCACCTTCCACTCCTTCGTAAAATACTCTAGGCAGGTAAAACACAAGCGACAATAGCAGTTGTCCCACCAGACACACGCCCATCAGGTACTCGCCCACTCGATCGATCGAGGCTACCGTAGCCTCCGCGATCGCCTTCGTGTAACGACAGCACGACGTCCACACAAGTTGCAACACATCTGGAACGAAGAGACAGATCGAGTGGTGCCACGCCTCACACCATCTGAGACACAGCAGTCCGAAAATGCCGAAGCGGGGTTCATACTTTCGTAACACCACCATGGGAACGAGGAACATCAGCGTGACCAAAGTGCACGCATATTCTCGAGGGTGCAGCTCTTGAGCGTTGGCACCCCGGACGGTAGTGACAAATCGGTCACTACAAGTATACCAAACGAAGCAGATGGTGGAACCACAGTCCACCAAGCTCGCGCTAAAAGCCCATCCCACATTGCGTAAAGGCGTCGTGACCACCCACACTACTATCCCAGCTACGGCACAGACCATCATAGCTCCAGTTCCGATTTCCGGAACGTCACGACAGGAGCCACCGCTTCGATTCCATCGACCCAGCTCCTCAGCACTTCCATCATTTCAGACTGGCGCCGCGTCAGTTAGGAAAGGTCATCCAGGCGTCGTCCGTTGACACCCCTTCCCAAGTGGCGTCAGTGTCACCCAAGTCGTTACCTTTCATCTCGTTCCATTTTTGCACCCTGTCGCGAGCGTCCTATTTCCAACGCCCGTCGCCTCATCGCGATGACGTGACAGATGGTATTATGTTTGACTAGGCGTATTTAGACCACCAAACTAGGATTCCCACCGATCTATGCCAATTCCGTAGCATCATGGATACTGACCCGTCTTCTGAACAGCATATATTACATTTGCAACCACGCGCGCCTCCGATAGGCGTCATTGTGGGAGATATGCGCTCAAATGAGATTATAGCCAAATCCTTCTCGGGTAAGATGGTGCTCATCTTGCAGATCACGGGAAACCCTGGTCATGTCTAGA